CATTCGCCACCTCACCGCTGGAAAGGCTGCTGGTTGCCATCGATTCGACCAATATGTTGCACGTAGCATTGATGGTTGAGGATTCCGAGGAGCACGGCGCACAAGCCAAGCCGATCGATTTATACTCCTGCCAGCTCTTTCCTGCTCATGGCTCACGTGTTCTGTCGTGTTCTATAGCAGTCAGGTGTGGCATGCTGGCCTTCGTAGAAGCTGCGGACCTCGAAGCAAAGGAGCGTGAACTTCATGTGTGGCAGCTTGCTCATCATGGCGAACTGCTTTCCGCACCCATCCGCTCGACTTGTCCATTCTGCACGCGTGGCCTTGCCACAGTTTCAGTGCCAAAGCCGATGCTGGGCCGGTTTGTGCTCCTCAAAGGCTGTTCAGCCATGGAGGAATCTCCTCCTTTCGTCAGCGCCCATCTCTTCAGCTTGGACTGCGGGCGACTGCACAAATTGTACACACATGGAGCAATTGCCTGCGATTCTACCTTGTTCCGTCGCGGCCATCCACTTTCCGACCTATGCCTAGCGTTCTGGAACTTGGAGGAGGGGTGCAAGTCTCTGTCCCTTGTCGATCTTGTCGATCTCTCGACTGGACACAGCAAGCAAAAAAACAATTAGCTCGTGCTTAGTCTTGCAGGGTTTCCTATGTCAGTTGAATTCGAAGTGGAGGGGTTTCGGCATGCGAGGGGAAGCTCAGCGCGAGCTTGCCCTCAGGCAGCTTGCCGAAGCCCCAGCATTCACGAGCAAATGCTGCACAGGAGATTGACTTCTGCGCAAGAGTCTGGTTGTAAGGTGCACTTCATAGCCTTCAAAGATCATGCGGATGATCCCTCGAATTTGTCAGCAGCAACACTGCCTGCGACTTACAGCAGTTAGCCGCAATTAGTCGCAACATTCATGCACTTCTGGAGCATGGACGAGACAAGGGCGCACCTTCCTCGTGATGTTGTCCGGTACTACATGGCCAATGGCGTCAAGTCGCTCGACGAACATGGTTTCTTCCCCATCCCTTTATCTCTCGCTGTCCGTCTGTCTGTCTTTCTGTCTCTCTATCTATCTCTCTATCTATCTATCTCTCTATCTATCTGTCTCTGTATCTCTCACTCTCTCTCTGTCTGTGCTGCCACTTCGCGAGGCCGCGGGGCCTGCAGCGCTTCGAGGACAAAGACGGCAACCCTCTGCCAAAGTACATTCCCAAGGAGCTCTCGCCATTGACTCGCCACACTCCACCCGGATGCTTCCCCACTGTCCGCTGAAAGGAGCCTATCAACTCGCAAGCAGGCGAGGACGACGGTTAAGTGCAGTGCTAAGCCGCCAAGCCGCTAAGCTACGGGTTTCGTGCCTGCCAGTTCCGGTGAAAGCGCTGCGAATTCCGACTGGTTCGGCCAGTGGCTCACGCGACACTTCGAAAGCCAGACCCTGAGCCGGGAAGAAACAGCTCCCGACTATTCGTTCTGACTTGGGACATGGATAGAGCGCTGTTGGCTGAGAGCCAGTGACCAGGTGGGGTCATCACGCACCGGGACGAATCTGCCTTCAGGCCTTGCATCGAACAGACACAGTGTTGACTTTCATGCGGCGTGGGTTGAGGCTCCAAGACGCCGGAGTCGCTTCTTGCCAGATCACCGCACCTACCTCACTGAGCAAGCAAAAGCGTGCTTTTCACGGCTTGCCACGATCGCATCAGGGCTGACTCCAGGGTCAACAGCAAGTCTGCATCTCTTCGGCCCGACCCTTGCGAGTCTGTGCAACTCGGGCCCGGGCCCGCAAAACCTTCGCCTTTCTGCAGGCTCGAGAATGCCACCACTGACGAGGAGGATGTGGAGCCATGGCCTGAGGAGGCCCAGGGAAAAGCGCATGCAAGTCCATGCCCGAACAGGCAGTTGAGAGAAGCATGCTTTCGCTATCTTTCGCTCCAGGAGGACTCGGACGAGGACAAGACCAAGAATGACAAGCAGCTCGGCATTCTCGGAGCCCGGTGCCCAGAGGCCCAGAGTGAGCGATTTGTAGTTTCAGGGATGCCGAGCACAAGCTGCCTATCTACCTCGAGGAGGCCCTGACCTGAGACAACGAACCGGCCCGAGAGCAACAGCAAAGAAAAGACACACTGTCGCTTGTCTTAGGAGCGACTGCGCCCCTTGGATGCAGCACGTTGTTGCGCGTTGCAGTGAAACAAGCCAGTCAGTTTAGCTGTCACCCAGGCTTGATCAACAACGGCGTTGGATTGGGATACGAACCCTGGTCTTATGGATGAAGTTCTGCAGCTGAGCATGGCCTTTCTTGCACCGTTCCGGCCCAGTCCAGCACCGAGTCCGAGTCCAGTCCAGGAGAAGTTTCGCATCGTCCGCGCGATACGGGATGGCTTGCCATCTTCAGATTTGGACGCCACCGGGCAGGCAAATAATATAGGTGTTAGCGGGAGCCAGCAATGACACCAATGGCAGTCCCAACGAATCGGAATTCGGGTGGAGCCCAGGTCCTGGTCGACAACATGCTGCTGCCTGCTGGCACTTGTGGCCGCCCGGATGCACGCCAACTGCGACAGAGCGACTGAGGCATGGGGGCTACGGCCATTCTCCCACATACAAAGATGCAGCTGCCGCCGCCTTGTCTGATGCGACCTGGACAGCAATGAGGATGATCTCATGTGGCGGCTGGAGGCAACCAGCCGAAAGGTCCTGCATCTGGTCAGGTGGAGTTCTACAGCCTTCCTGGAATGGCACGGTCGGGATCACCGAAGGATCCTTGGTGTCATTTTGGTCTAGGCGTGTAGCCAAGTTAGTCCGTCCCACGAAGTTACCTGCCTCGCTCGGGAAGCTTCCAGCGCGATGTTGCGCCTGCCCAGGACCAACCCGGCGCTGCGCTGGCGCAGAGACTTGTTTGAATCGCTCGGTGCGTCAATAGTTGTGTCTGTGTCTCTGTGTCTCTGTGTCTCCCCATCAAGTCTTGCACCAACGAAGATGCTGCATATGTGCACGTGATTTCCATTGGGACGCCATTGGACGGACGTACATGCAGATGGTTCGCATGCTGAATGTTTTATAGCATTGGGAGCAGAAGAGCTTGAATAAGTTGGAAGTGTCGGAATGAAGTGCGTGTGTGTGTGTATGTATGTATGTATGTATGTATGTATGTATGTATGTATGTGTATATATACATATGTGCATATATATATATATATGTACATGTATGTATTTGTACATGTACATATTTATATTTATATACATACATATATAAAGACATGTGTATCTGTCTATGTATCTGTTTTTTAAAAATACATATAGCTTTATGTACATCGTCGGACCTAGTGCGTCTCTCGCTTCCCTTCTCTTGAAAACGCGATGCCCCTTCTTGCAGATGGCTTTGAGGGATTGCTGTCGTGGCAGCTAAGGAGCCGCAGAAGGATTCGAATAGGTTCCGACGAGGACGACGAGGACATCGATTACGGTGAGAGGTCGGCCGCTTGAATGCTCGCAGGGGGACTCTGAAGTGATGGAAGCTGCGCAGGTTACGGGAGTTGGCTCTGCCTCCCAAGTCCTTGGACAGGAGGATGGAAGGCCGCCTAGGTGTGGCCCCAGCAATTCCATTAGAAGTTTCCTTGTTGCAGCCTGGCTGTGAAGGCCTGCTTCCGCGAGATCGGGTTCAGATCAAAGAGCCCCAACCCCGCGCAGCCCTCGACAATGCGGGTTCCCACCTGAAACACTTCTGTAGAGCGTAGAGCGCTCAGACAAAGGTCGTGAAAGAACCGCGACCGCTAGCTCCGTCGGCGGCATTCGGGTCGCTTGGCCCCTCAAGATATGTAGGGTTTCTTGCTCCTGCGGGCTCGACCATCGTGCCAGGATGCATGGGAGACGATGCGAGTTGAAGACGGCTCAGCTGCCAGAACTCTGCTGGAACTCTCGGCCTCTCGCAATGAGAGCAAGGACCGCTCTTTGAGCTGCGAGTGGCGCCATCCCCTCTGCCCTACATGCTTGCGCACGTGTGGTACACTGCTCCCGCATGTGAGCGACGAGGATGTGGTCGCTGACCGGGGCTACCCCAGTGTCGCTCGTGGTGCTACGAAGACGCTGGAGGAGGCACGGAGCTTGCCGACCAGCTGCCGCAGTTGACGCTACAAGTATTTTGGATTTTAGTGTCTTCAAGGCTGCGGGCATGCTGTCCAACCTGGAAAACGCCGCGCCGGACCCTGCGCATGGGGCTCGGCCAGGCAACTACGCGGTCATGCTCAGACAGGTTCGGTGTGTTGCAAAGGCTCGGACAGGCCGCCCCGTCGGCCGACAACTCGCCAACTCTTCGCGCGGCAGGCCGGGATACACCTTGCGCTTTGTCACTCGAGCACAACTGCATGATCTCGCAAGGTGATGTCGGCTCTGAAGCTAGTGAAGCAGACATGGTTGCCGTCGTCTCCGATGGCATGCTGAGTCAGGGCCGCGCATCGTCAGACTTTTGAGCTGGAGGCATGCGGGGAGGAGGCCGGCCTCCCATGCTGCAGGGAGGAGCGTTTGATTGTTCTACCGTTCCCGAACGGAGCCATACGGCTTGTGGCGAGCTAAAGCACAGGTGGCACTCATCATGACCTCTTTGCAAGTGTTTCATTGCACTCCTGCAGGGAAGCAAGAGTCAGTAGGTTTTTGCATGTTGCTCTAGATTTCTTTGGTCGAAGACCAACGGAGAGCGGACCGTCCTCAATCATTGCACGTGGCATGCCCGAGTTGAAACAAGACGTTGGCCTGTGTAGAGTTGCTTCGAATCGCAGCTGAAAGCTTTGAAAGGTTCGGATTGTCCGAGCTAGCTAGCACCACGGTTCATCGGCAAACGGTTTTCCAACACATCTGCTTACTAGGCTTGCTGTTGGAGACGTTGGCTTGAACATGGACATACTTTCGAGCACCTTTTTGTAAAGTGTTGAGCTGGAGCTCAGGCCCATGTAATTCACATTCAGCTTCAAAGCTCACGGTCGTCGCAGAACTCTGGCATTGGGTTCCTCCGGACACTGCGATGGCTGGGGACGGCCAAGGCGAAGATGCGTTCATGTGCCGAATGGACCAGCTGACGCAGAAGTTGAGCAAGTGGAAGACGACGCGTTCGACAACACCGCTTAGGAATGATAGCAGCACGGCTTTGGCTTTGGAGGAGCAGTGTGGGACTGCCAGAAAGGATGGCTCCCCTAGACGGCACTTCAAGCCATCGCCGAGCTCTCAGGTGCAACCGAGCTCAGGGAGATCCCGTGGCTCACATTCTCCAAGCAGGCGTGGCTCCATCAGCATCCTCTCCACATACGACCGAGTACACAAGGTCGCCAATGCTGCAAGTGCTGTCCGGTGGCTGTCCAAAGCATCCAAGGGTGAAGAGGGTGAGGCCAAGAAGGCCTCTGCCTCTGCCGTCAAGCGCTTGCAGGGCAGGTCGCAGTCTGCGACCTTCCGTCCCATCTTCGCAGAAACGGCAGGAGAGGATGCAGAAGCGAAGCGCTTCGACCAATCTCTTTCCCCTTCCGTCAGCCCTGCGTCAAGGCTATCCAATCGCTCCACGGTCGACAAGTCAGAGAGCAACCCCTTCCATATCGAGAGAAGATGCGAGAACGCAGGGGACAGAGCCTTGTCTCCCTCACGGAATCCTCAGCCATCCACAGCATTCAATACTCGCATGGAAGCGCTGCAGCACAGGGTCTGGCAAGCATCGCCTGCGGTGCCATCCGAACCTTGTCAGGCTTCAGCTCGTGCAGCCTGTAGGGCCTGTAGGACTGTAGGCTAGACAGATGGGGTTTGGAACAGCGTGTGAGCTCTGAATGTCAGGACCGTCATAATCCTTTGCTGAGCGAGCTAGATTCCAAGAACAAGTACGAGGCCTGGCCCTGATGCAGCCGGAAGCATCTTTTCAGGGCCGACATACCGGAATTTTGACGGGAGGCCTCGCCATTTCAAGCTGCAGTGGCCGACCATGGCGGCATTTCGCCACAGCTGCTTGACTGAAAGCCTGCCTGGCCTCTGTGAGCTTTCGCAGTCCGGAACCAGGCCAAGACAATGGCAAACCCTTGCTCGAGCATCTCCGGGAACAGCACATTCGGACGAGACGTTGGCCAGCCGAGTAGGCCCGAGAATCGATAGCTGCTCCTTCGCTGCCGTGCTTTGATGCTTGTGAGGCCAGTTGGAGGAGTCCCTTGGGCGAATCGATGCCTGGAAGCAAATGGGAGGGGACAGTCTTGTCAAGGGTGCCGGCCTCAACCGCAATGGCAAGCTTCAGGAGATGATGTTGCAGCAAGTTCTTGAGAGTATGGCCGTGGCAAATGCTCAAAGTGCTCCGGCCAGCACCATGGAACATGCAAGAGGCCGCGGGAGCCTCGATCAAAGCCATAATGCAGATGGAGTGGAATCGGCACGTTCGTCGCCTTTTCCGTCCTGAGCTGGCCAGGTGAGGGCACGGCCACAGCCCGCTCTTGGACGGGGCAGGGGCAGGCTAGGCAGTCTTCGGCGATTCCCCGCATGCCCTCGCGAACGCCTTCCAAGACTCTTGTAGCTCAGCCGCAAGCAGAGGAACTCAGGCTCAGGCTTTTCTTTAATGGTTAAGAACAGAACGTGTCAGGCAGCCGACTCGGTGCCTGCGGCTCAGAGATGACCTCCTGGGGGGTTGCGACTCGAAGCCTAAAACGAAGAATGCTGTTCGCCAGGCCCATGCCGGCCGAAGCATCTTGGCAAAGCAAAAGTTTAAAAGGCCGAGCCGCCCGGAAACGAGCCATTCTGTGCCTTTGCAGGCAAAGCTCGATCGAAAGCAGCAGCCTCAGACTACTTGTTTTTCCGGCAGAAGGACGCAGGAGAGCGAGACAGGGTGTCGTGCCCATGTTGATCTTCTGGTCTTTCCATTATCCTTCTTGAGGCAGTGTCTCCGACCAGCAGTGGCAACGCCTGATGCCCCAGCAGGGGCATCGACTCTGAGAGATGCAGGACCACCGCGAACTATTTGATCAATCGCCCAAAAGAAAATTTGCAGAGTGGAAGATTGGACTGCAGGAGCCGAAGAGGCTTCGATGGTGGATGGTGAGGACGGGACATGCTCAGATGCCCGGTCGCATGGGCTGGCATCTCGAAATGCTACGCAGGATTCTCGCAAGGCCTCCAGGTCCAGCCCAGTGGTGCTCCCGGGACACTGCCGACACCTAGTACTGTAGCTTTCCGACGACTCGGTGGATTGCGCCGTGAAGTGCCAGACGCATGCCCGTCAGCGAGGCCACTTCCTCAACTCGCAGCGGTTTCTTCAAGTGGCCTTTGGTCGGAATCCTACCGTAGATGCGTGGAAGATGCATTTCAGCAATTTTCGGATGCTGAGGACATTGCCGGAGTTCGTGAAGAGCTCGGTCTCCCCAAGAAGAGGCGTCAACAGGCACTGCCACCTGCCACGCTTGGAGTCGTGGTATGTTCGCTCTTTTGGGGCCCTTCATTATTGGAGTCCCCGCAGGCATGACGGCCCGGGCCCGACAGACTTGAGGTCCAAAGGACCGCCCCACGGGACCCACGGAAGCTCGACGCTTCAATGAGCCGCTGTCTCCTGGGTTTCACGTTTGCATTCGCGGCACCGCCTCGAGCGGTGAGGACCGCTCGTCCTTTGACAAGCTCAGCCAATGCATTCAGAAAATGCCTCGCTTGTAGATGGTCGCAACTGAGTTCCAGATAGATGGTGGTGAGGGGGGGGGCAGGGCGGACCAATAATTGGTTGCCTGAAGCTTCGAATGATATTGCCATTGCAACTGTTTGTTTTCACGCAGATGGCGAAGGATGCAAACGGTGAGTACGACTTTGTAATTATTGAACCCTTGATCCAAGGCCAGGTTGGGGGCTGGATTCTGTCGGTTCGAAGAGCCCACTTGGGTTTTCATAGCAACCATACACACACACAGAGGGGCACGCAGTCTTCGGTGCTGCATTTCGTAAATCGTAAATCAAGCCGCGCAACGAGAAAGCCCGAACCGAGAACGGAGAACGCTGACGCACGCAGAAAACTGCCCTCCTAGAACGATGCTTTCTGTAACGCATTGGTGGGCACTTTGCACATGTGAGTGGACGGAGAAGTCAGGTCCATGAAGCATACATGCAGCAGCGTCCTTGAGCCTCCGGTCATGTTGCAGAGACTTTGTTCCAAATTATTCGGAGACGGGGAGGGTGCGTCAATCCGACTCCCGATGGCTTTCTCGTCGCCGCTTGGCTGCGTACGGCAGATATCTGATGCTCTTTGGGTTGCATCTTGGGTTGTTCAGCTGTTGCTAGGTTTGGCACATGGTTCGCGGGAGCCTGAGTGAACCTTGCTCGTGAAGATTGCATCAGAGATGGGGGGGTCCTCCGTCGAGGCGAGATTATGCAACTGCAAACGTCCTTTGCACGAGGCACGAGATGATGAGTGCTGTGAGCAGTTTCGACATGTGCTTGTGATTCTTGCGCGAGGCCGCGGCATACACACCCAAGAAATGCGTGGAGAGCTGAGCTTCTTGGCGAGCATGTTTTGTGGCTTCATCCACTTGCTTTTGCCAGGTGCCTGACACGACAGGAAATCCGCGCTGTCAAGCAACGAAGCCGAGTCAAGTTCAGGAGGCAGTCGGAGTCTTACATATGCACTGCACTTAGTAATTAGGCATTCTGGAAGTATATTTCCATGCTAGACTTGCTGAAGGTTTACATCGACAAGATGACAACAGTTCCTGCAGTGCCCATCTTAGTAGAGCTTGCGAGAATCCTCTCAGCGTGAGCCGGCAGTGGAGCACCTGAGCAGCGCGGTAACGATTAGGACCTCTACAAGAAGATGGTGGTTGCCGGGAGCCGTGCCCGAGCCCGTGGTCAACACTCCTTAAAGGCAGGGAGCCGCTTTCTTTGACGGCAATCAAAGGCATTGTAGGACCATTGTAGGACACCTCTGACCAATGCCAGGCAAAGCCAAGAACTTCTGACCCGTCAGCACCTGAGACTCGCGAGATTCTATTCGGGTGATGCTCCGACATTGGAAGCAGGAAGCAACCTAGCCGCACCTTCGAGCCAAGCCTTGTGCGGAACAAATCTTACTACGGCGCCCGGGCTGCACTCAGCTAGTGCTTCATTCAACCCCGTTCCTGCTGTGCCAGTTGAAGGTGAAAAACCGCACAAGTGCTACTCAAAATCAGCAGACTGGGAGCCTTTGTTGGAAGGGTCGGTGCGTGCACAGCTGACTCACAAGCATAAGCTGCCGAACAGCGCCAGCACATCGATTCCATAATAAAGACGGTTCGTACCTAGAGCTAAAGCCTCACCTCTGACGTCAGGCTAATCCTCCACGAGCATGCTCAGACTTCAAGGCGCAAGCACCGCTTCGCTCACGATGGTTAGCCTCTGGAGTGCATTCTGGAGTGCAATATCGCGCTCGGGATTTGAGCATGTCATGGTCAAAGATTCATTGCACAGGTTGGGGAGGATGTCAACGAAGCCGGCTTGACTTCGGTCGGAAGTGTCACTATGTTACATACTGTTACTGTGACGTATTTTCGTCACTTTGGCAAACAGGTCGTTCAAGACTGGAAGTCGCTAAGAGAAGGCCCAGGTCGAATCGCTGTGAATGCTCCAAGCCACGTCGTCTGCCGGCATTTTCAGAATCTACAAGGGATTTCCACTTCTGGCTTGGAGCCTACAAGATCATCTTTTGGCTTTTGACCGCAGGTTGGCCTTGCGACTAATTGGTGTGGCTGTTTTTCCAAGCAGACGTGTTGCTGTGCAATTGTATACTCTCGAAGCAGGACGACGCCCTAGACCATTCCTAAGGTCTACACGTGAGCATGCGAAGATGTTGAAAGTCTGCAAGTCTGGTTTGATGTTCGACAGACATGCCTGTTTCTTCACCCATTTTCTACACTCCTAGTGCCGCGCCATGGCATGGAAGCAATGCTTCAGAGCATTTCGGGGGCGCGGTTACTAGACGACACAGAATCTTTAGGTATGCCAATGACAGCGTTATCGAGAGAGAGAAATCAAATCACACATAAGATGCGACCCATCGTTGCCGCGGCGCGGCATCAGACGTTTCGTCCGAGTTGGTGCAGCCCTGCACTGCGGAAACAGCTGACTTGCACGAAGTCAACACTGCACTTTTTTCGGTAACTGCCACTTCTTGATATAACGTTTCTGAGGCTTTGTCGTCATGCAGATTCTAGCAAAGCATGCACTTCCGCTGTAGTCGCTGTCAATTATTGAGCACCCCAGATGTTGTCCAACTCTGGGCGCACAGGCAGGTGTGACAGCACCAATGTGCAGGGGTTATGCGATCATGCAGACACGATATGCGGTTGAATTCAAGAACCATTGCTCCAACAGTGAGTGTCGGTTTCTGTACAGGGCTTTGTTTGGCAGCTAAGGCGTTTGGCAGCCAACCCAGGTTGTGCTGCCACGCCTGAGTTGAGAGGTGTCCCGCAAGCAAGTCGGGCCCACACAACTGGTTCTGGGAGCCATTGCCCCAAAAACCTATGTCCGTCACTTCCGTGACTTCATACTTCCATACCTGGAATAGACCTCCAATGACGCGTTCCCTGCCAATGCTCCCGCTCATGTTCTCTGCTGACCTCTTTGACACTGGTCTTGCGCTTGTCATTCCGCCTGTTTGTCCTCATCAGTTTCTAGCTCTCAGTGCCGTTGTTACCATTCTATCCTTTGTTGCAGAAGTGACTCGTCGCCATTGTTCCCCGATACCTGAGTCAAACATCTCCTGACGGATACTTTTGATTTTCTTCTTGTTGAGGCTGCTCTTGCACTGGGCTGGAACTATTGTTCGCCATTACCGTTGCATGGCAGTTTCAGGAGCAGTAACAGCAGGAGAGGGAGCATGCAGGAGTATGAGTAGACTAGGAGCAGGAGTAGGAGGAGGAGGGGGAGGAGGAGGAGTAGTAGTAGCAGCAGCAGCAGCAGTAGTCGTCGTAGGAGTTGCAGTAGCAGCTGTAGTAGCTGTAGTCGTAGTTGTAGTCGTGGTGGTGGTCTTGGTCGCGGTCGTGGTCGTGGTGGTCGTGGCAGAAGGAGGAGGAATCACGATTCTTGGCAGCCCTCTGCGGAAGATGTTTTGGTTTCTGACAGCATCGCTGAGGGCTGGGGCGGGATAGATTCGATAAGGCTAGATATGACTCTATGCAAGCAATCGGACTCTCATAAATCGAGCTTCCATGCGTTCGTCTGCATCTCGGCCACATTGTACCGTCGGCCATGGTCTTTAACCTTTCTGGGGTGGGGGGGACTCTGGCCTCCAACTGTTGCTTGCGTTTTTTTTGGTGAGTCTGCTTGGCAAGAACTCAGAGCCACTACCATTGAAGACGCTATGCGGCTATGCGTGCATAATCCTGTGCTTCGAATTACCGATGCCTCTCCGATCCCGTGACTGAATGGTTTTGCCCAGTGTTGTCGTTTTCCCTGCGACTTCCAGCTAGCTGATCGTGTTTTTTTTTCTTTTCTGGGGGGAGTGGGCAGACGTTCTTGGTGTTTTGTTCATGCTGGCGAACCTGTCCCGTCTGCGGGTCGTTTCGCTCCTGCACACAAGGTCGCTGATCAGGGGTTGTGGCCAAACAGCGCGCCTCGTTCAAGTTGGGATAGTGCCGATTGTCGCGCACGGTTATTGGGGGCTTCCGCAACCAGAAGGTTGCAAGACGATTTTATTGGTACCGGTCGCCTGGTTGTAGAAGCCGTAGCAGTACCACGGTCAGCAGTAGCCGCGGCAGCAGCAGCAGGAGCAGCAGCAGCAGCAGTGCTCTAGCTGTGGTACTGACTGGTAGTGGTAGTGGTATAAGCGACAGAGGTCTTTGTAGCCGCAGTACTAGTACTACCCGAGGCAGTATGACTAGTGACTAGCAGTACTTCGAGTATTCTTGCAATAAGGATAGCTCTTGCTGTGCACTGTACTGTTTTCGGTGAGCATAGTCTGCACATAGCCGACATCTTCACGCTTCGAGGAGCACGAGAAATCGGCGGACATAGGTGTGCGACTGGGTGAAGCTTCGTCATCCACTGGGCAGCCCCGAGCAGTGCACGACATAATTCACGTCCAAAGCTTTAGAGCTCTTTCTTGAAGGAGATCAAGCTACCTTATGGACTTTCAGAACTAGCAGCCCATCATCCTGCCCTTTAACAGGCTTTACTGGGCGACGTGTAAAGCGTCCGCGGGAGCTTGAAGCTCGGCAATTTTGAGAGAACCTCACCTCGCAGCACTTGGAAGATTAGCAGGCTTCCAGGTCACCAGCAAAACTATCTCCAGGACGGCAAGGCCTCAGGTGAAGGGTGGGTCTGACAAGAAGCTCACCTTTGTTTCGCCGCTGTGCGAGACGTCCTTGCAAGCCATTGCATGCAACTTATGCCAAAGTACTCGCACCAAGACAAGCAGTAAGTGCATGTGAAAATGAACTCCGCGGTTGCTGCCAAGTGACCTTGCGCGCTGGGGTATTGCCTTTCAAAATGGAGACAGACTGGCAGCTTTTTCATATTACAGCTCAAGACCAACCAGGTTCACAAGCCTTATCAGTGACTTCTATCAGATGGGAGAGCCGTGCCATGCACTTTGCCACGACAGATGAGAGCCGTAGAGGTTTGAAACAGCGCTCCAATAGAATGCAGGCACAGCCTCAGGGCCCAGCAAACCGACATTGACACACATGAACCGTTGAGCAAATGCATGTTGGTTCCGGTCTGCACCGATCGAATTCAAGCGCTTTCCTTGGGTCAAGGCCATGTGGGGCCGCCTGCTTCTTCTCCCAAGGGGTTCCGAAGGTCGTTGATCCTTCGACGATTCCGCAGGAAGATGGCGGTTTACGCTCTGCAGTTGTGTCGTACTTCACAGCACCTTTCCGCAGCATCGCAGGCAACTGCGAGGTGTAGCTGCTTTGTTGCCGTGTGCTCGCGCGAGGCCGGCACTGAGCTCAGGGCAGCTTGCTGCGGCCGAGGCCCAAGTGACCAACTGGAAGTTCTGCGGATGAAGACATGAAGTTTTGCATCAAGCAGGTGTGATGCGGAGTTCGTTAAAAATCCTTGATAGGCATGGCCTCAACGGATTACCATCTGCGGCGGCTTATTCAAGAGGCTACAAAGGCCAGTGAGCAACAGCTCCGACCCCAGAAGTGCTGGGCCCCGGCATGACATGTTGCCCAGACATGACTTCATTGGTCCCAAGGGCTCACAAGCTTGTAGACGATGCCTTTGTCATCATCGAGGGCAACGCAAGTCGATTTTCCACAGGTGCCCTTCCTCCTCTGCAGCTAACTGTGCTCGGTATTGCAAGCCGTTGCATAGGAGATGTTACCCCTGCCGCCCACAAGTCGTTACCATATTGTACCTTGCATTGCTTCGACCTACCTCCGTCCAGAGGAGAAGATTTTGCCCCGGAGCTCTTGGTTTTTTTCGCCGAGGCTGCTTCTGCCACTTGGATTCAACGTAAAGCTATGGGTTTACCGGGCGGGTCCTGTGAGGCTCAAACATTGCTGTTGTGCGGCAGGATGTCGGAGGCCACGACGAGCAGGCTGAGCGCTCTCTGCAACTCTACGACCGCTTAGCCTGTGAGGAGAACCAGCTGCTCGGAGAAACTGGCAAGGTTGTGGGACTCAAGCTTGTGCCAAAGTTTGCCCCGGCTTGAACGTAACTAGCTGAACTAGCTGTAGCTGTTTTTGCACAACATGAGTGCTGTGTGCAAGTTCAAAGCAAGGTACACCGTACGGGCGCTGCTCATCCGCTGCCTCTGTCAAGCACGCCTTGGCACGAGACATGGGCTGAAAGGCCTCCACCTTCTTCAGCACCATGGTTCAGAGTTGAGGCTCAATGTCGATGTGTGGCGCCCGCTCTTTCAAGCTAAGGCAGCTGCAATATGCACTGCAGGAGTACCTTGTCAAGGCAAGAATTTGCTCTTGACTTGCTGTGTCGTTATGTTTGCCTGCAGTCTGACCCCTCCAGCTGCGTTTGGCGTATACTCGTTACACTTAAGTCACTTACTTTACTGTACACGAAGTATTCGCGCTACACATCGTTGTTGGTGAAGCTCTGCCGACTGCACATATAGCAGCAACACATGTCCTCGATGAAACGCTCGGTGCAGGCCCTGAACATAGCGAGCGAGTCTGGCTGGGCACAAAATGACAGCCGCATCACGGCTGAATTCAGAAGCATCCCGATGCAAGTTTGTTTTCAACTAGACCAGGGAGTGCATCAGGTTATGGCTTCTTGATCTACAACGCTTCGTTGGTGTTTTGGAAAGTGGCACGGCCAATGTGTCGGTCTGGATGGCAGAAATACATACTGAATGAGACAACTCAAGTC